TTTTCCCCATTCAGTATGATGTTGGGGTGGTTTTACCATATATGGCTTTTATAATTTTGAGATATGTTCCTTCTATGCCTAGTTTTTAATCATGAAAGGCTATTCACAAACTGTACATTCCAATATCCAGGATCTATGAAGAGCTCAAATAAATCAGCAAGAAACAAAAAAACCCATTAAAAAATGGGCAAAAGACATGAATGCAAGCTTTTCAAAAGAAGATAGACTAATGGCCTATAAACATATGAAAAAATGCTGAATGTCATTAATTATCAGGGAAATGCAAATTAAATCTACAGTGAGATATTACCTTACCCCTGTTAAAATGGCTTTTATTAAAAAGTCCAAAAACAATAGATGCTGGCACGGATACAGAGAGAAAGACTACTTATACACTGTTGGTGGGACTGCAAATTAGTACAACCTCTGTGGAAAACAGTATGGAGATTCCTCAGAGAACTAAAAGTAGACTTACCATTCGATCCAGCAGTCCCACTACTGGATATCTACACAAAGGAAAAGAAGTCATTTTATGAAAAAGATACCTGTACTCAAATGTTTATTGCAGCACAATTCACAATTGCAAAGATGTGAAATCATCCTATGTGCCCATCAATTCCTGAGTGGATTAACAAAATGTAGTATATGTGTGCCATGGAGTACTACTCAGCCATAAAAAAGGATGATGAATTAATGCCTTTTGCAACAATTTGGATGGAACTGGAGACCATTATCCTAAGTGAAGTATCTAATGAATGAAAAAACAAACACCACATGTATTCACTATTAAATTGCAACTAACCGATGAGCACACATGTGCAGAGAATAAAGTAAAACTCAGTGGAAATCAAGCGGGGGGGCGGGGAACTAGTAGGAGGCATGGATGAAAACCTATCTAACGGGTACAGTGAACACTATTTCGGTGGTGGACACACTTATAGCACTGACTCAAGCAATCCATGTAACCAAAAACATTTGTACCCCCTTAATGTTTTGAAATAAAAATAAAATAAAATAAATTACACAAAGCAATATGAGTGTCTTTGTCTTCTAACTTTTTGTCTTACTTTTTCATAGAAAACTATTTTGTCTGTATATGAGCACAAAAACTATATGATCATTTCAATTAATGCTGAAAAAGCATTCAATAAAATTTAACATTCCTTCGTGATAAAAACTCTTAAAAAACTGAGTATAGAAGGAACTTACCTCAACACGATAAAAGCCATATATGACAGACTCACCATGAGTATCATACTTAATGTGGAAAAATTGAAAGCCTTTCCTCTAATATCCGGAACAAGATAAGGATGCCCACTTTCACCACTGTTATTCAACACAGTACTAGAAGTTCTAGCTAGAGCAATCAGACAAAAGAAAGAAATAGGCTGGGTGTGGTGTCTCATGCCTGTAATCCTAGCACTCAGAGGCCTAGGCAGGAGGATAGCTTGAGCTAAGGAGCTCCAGACCAGCCTGAACAAGAGCGAGACCCCATTTCTACTAAAAATAGAAAAAATTAGCCAAGCATAGTTTCTTTCATTTTTGTATATGCTCATAAAGGAGACTCAATGATTTGCCTGATGTTTCCAGAGCACAGTGATTCTAATATTAAAGCAGAATGATTCATCTGTCAAACTTTATCTTCCTTCTGCATTTAGAAGGTATGATTTAACTTATTATCTATGATTCTATCTTTTGCATTATTACCTAAGACAAATCAGATTGTAAGGAATGCCTGTTATCTCATTATCTTTGTGAATGATGTGATCAATCTTATTAAGTGAGATAAAAGATAAACACACATTCATGTTTCAACTTGTTGACACAACTCTCATGAATAGTTAAGGAATCCAAAAGAAGGAGAGAAAACAAGCAACCTTTAAACATGTAGGAGTTGGAGAAAATGAGACTAAGTAGATGAGAACCCATTTTATTCACCTGCCTCAATGCTCCTGAGACACCTGTTATGTACCTTTTGTGTAATGTGGGTAGACATGACTTGTTAGCAAATATATCGATGTTTTAATGTATTACTATATCCAAGAGTTAATATTTTTTAGTTAGGGGGAGTTTTGCATATATAATGATTTCTCTTGTAGAAATTAATATTTATACATTTTTAATTAAGGTAAGTTTTACATATTGTAATGCTTTCCCTTGTAGAAATTAATATTTAACTGTGAGAAGTGCAGAAGA